AATTGATAGCAACATAGTCAGGGATGGCGCTTGCTTATCACTTGCACAACAACAATAAGTGCTAGTGTCTTTGACAAGAGAAGAGATTCTAAAGGTTGTGCAAGGCTTGTCACTAGACAAAGCACCAGGGATAGATGGTTACCCAACTGAATTTTTAAAAGAAAACTAGCAAGTGGTGGGTGAAGCTGTTACAAAAGCAATACTGCAATTTTTTGAAACAGGAAAACTACTAAGGTAGATCAACTGTACCACTGTCACTCTCATCCCCAAGGTGGCAAATCCAAATTATGTAGAAGAGTTCAGACCCATAGCTTGCTACTCTACAATATACAGAATTATAGCTAAGATACTTACTACTAGGCTGAAAATGGTTGTTGATTACCTGGTGGGGCCTTCCCAGTCTGCATTTATAGAAGGGAGAAACATTTTGGACAATGTAATACTAGCTCATGAACTAATCAAAGGGTATACATAGAAAGCAGTATCACCAAGATGTATGATTAAGGTGGACATTAGGAAGGCCTATGACTCTGAGCTTCTTGAGAGATCTTATGTTGGAACTTGGGATTCCATATAAAATGGTTAATCTTATTATGGAGTGTGTAAGTACAGTTACTTATGCTCTACTGATTAATGGAGGCTTAACCCCTAGGTTTCAGGCAAGAAAAGGTTTGAGGCAAGTTGACCTTATGTCACCTTACCTCCTTGTATTGGTGATGAAATATCTGAACAGATCTTTGAAGCAGCTCAAATCAAACCCAGACTTCAACTATCATCCTAAATGTTCAAAGTTGGGAGTGGTACATATTTTTTTTGCTGACGACTTGTTGATGTGTTGTCGAGCAGACAAGGTGTTTATTAATCTTACGATGAAACAATTTGAACACTTTTCTGCTGCCTCAGGATTGCAAGCAAACATGGAGAAAAGCTCACTGTATGTAGCAGGTTTGTCGATCAAGGATGCAACCCGTCAAATATTTAGGAGTGTCATTGTCTTCCAAGAAGCTCACTATCAGCCAGTGTATGCCATTGTTGGATAGAATTGCAGAGAAAGTGAGATCTTGGACGACTAGATTCTTATCCTACGTAGGGAGAGTCCAACTAATTAAAAGTGTACTGTTTGAAATGCAAACTTTATTGGGCACAGGTATTTCTTCTCCTAAAGAAGGTGCATGATATGGTCACAGGAATATGTAGGA